GGTTCAGGGTTTAGGGGTTGGGGATTTGGGTTCAGGGCTTCGGGGTTTCAGGCGTTTTGGGGTTGAAGGGATTATGAGTTTAGGGTTTGAATTGGGGATTAGGGTTTAGGGTTACGCACGCCCTGCGCGCTCATGAGTTCAGGGTTGATAACCCCTTGGGGTTTGTTGGTTTGGGTTTGGGGATCAGATGGGATTAGGGTTTAGGGTCGGACCGTTGCGGTTTAGGGTTACGCGCGCCCGGCGTGCGCATCGCTTCAGGGTTTATAGGGTTTAGCTGTTGGGGGGTCTGGTTTAGGGAGTATAGGGCTTAGGGTAGGGTTAAGGGGCGCATCGGTTATAGGGGTTTGGGTCAGGGCTTCGGGGTTTCACGGGTTTGGGTTTAGGGATTAAGACAGGATTCAAAGTAGGGTTTAGGGGCGAGCCTGGTGCGTGCATGCGTGCATATCAAGTGGCGTCATTTTGGTGATTTTTGTAATCTTGGTCCGCAAGTGATGGGCCCGCGGCTAGCAAGATGACCAACATGACCAAAATGACGCGGCATTTTGCCGAGCTTGTCGGCACACTCTACCACTACCGCTACCCCAAGCACTACCACTACCACTACCACACTACCACTACCACCACTACTACTACTACTACTACTACTACTACTACTACTGCTACTGCTCCTACTCCTACTACCACTACTACTACTACTACTACTACTACTACTACTACTACTACAACTCCTGCTGCTGTTGCTGCTCCTGCAACTACTAGTACTATTGCCTTGTTTTGGGCCGTCTGATTGTTGGTTGTGTTGCTTCCTTTCTGCTAATGGTCACTCTTAAGGCACCCACGACCTAAACCCACCCTAAACCCCTAGGCCCCCCTCAACACTAAAGCCCAAAACACCTAAAACCACCGCATTGAAGCCCGAAACTCTCCCTAAACCTAAACCCTAAACCCCCCTTGGCCCTAACTTCGAACCCCCCTTCCCCAACTCTCTCAGACCCTCCTATTCTAAATTAGTCAAAGCCACCCAGACCCCAAGCCAGCCCCAACTCTCTCACACCCGCAACAGATTGGTTAGACCGCAAACTTTTGGGTGGGGGGAAAGGGGTGGTGGGCACTTACAAGACACCTTGCCCCATTAATCTATGGAACCATTTCGCCCACTCGGCGCCCAAATATCAAGCCTAAAATCCCCGAAACCATATTCCCAAAACCCCGTTATACCCATACGCCAAATATCAAGCCCAAATCCCCGCAAAACCATATCCCCAAATTCCCGAAATCCTACTCCCGAAATCTCAACCCGTAAATCTCAAGCC